AGATTGATCAAAGGAGATGAGGTCACTTGGTTTAAACTTGTATGTTCTAAGTTTTCCCCAATTATAATTGTAATGAATGAATGCTGTTATGAAATGTAAATATGGGAATGATAGAATCTAAACTATGTTGTGATTTATTGTGAATGTTGAAATAACGATTCTTTGATAACACGATTATTTCCCCTCCTTGACACGTCACGTATTGTCTCGTTGTGAATATACACACAAGATCTCATTGTAAAAGAAAAACAATAAATCAGTTTTCCGGCAGGCAGGCAAGAAAAGAGGCTGTGTTTTCGTCTTCTTTATAAGTTTTAATCTTTTTATAATGTGAGGTCATAAATAATATGCAGCCGTCACAATAATATTACTCCGTATTATCCTGACTTTTTTCAATAAAACTAGAACAGTTAAGAATTAGCCATTGTGTTGCTTTCTTTCTAAATAACTTAAATATTTGTCCAAAGATACCTTCCAAATTTTCACATAAATGGTAAATAAATGGACTCGCTATCTCCGCAAGCGACATAGAGTCATAAAGTAGGTCAAGGTGACCTTGAAAGTGAAAGTGAACATTGTTTAGATTTGCCTAATAACGAAATTAACTCACGTTGTTGGTGGCTGATGAGCAAGATCAATTGTCACATTATTGCAGTATGCCTCAAAACAGTCTTTACAGAGTCCCTTTTTGCAAGCAGGGCAGTAGGTTATGTGCACTGGTTTGCCTGACTTGGTGCTATTTCATTGCTTCTTACAGAAAGAAAAGACATATGACTTACCAATAGCACCCACCAACCACCCGCTACTTGCATACAAAATGACTGCGTGAAAATATCAATACATACCAAAAGCATTTTAAACTTGTCAGTTCCAAAAGATCTACCACTTTTGAAATCAAGAGAAAAGGCAGTCAAGGGTTGGATCTAGCCTCAGCTCAAGCGTAGCAGCGGTGGACGCACCAGTCTAGACAGATTGTCTCCTATCCTGGTCACCCACAGAAATGGGGCAATCTTTCCACACAAGTCTTTATTTTATTTTATTTTGTTGCTGTTGTTGCTGTTGTTTGTTTTGGTTTTTGTTTTTGTTCTTTTTTTAGGGGGGTGGTGTTTTTGTTTGTTTGTTTTGTTTGTTTGTTTGTTGCTGGTTTTGTTGTTTGTTTGTTTTTTGTTTGTTTTTTGTTGGGTTGGGTTTTTTTCGGGGGGGTTCTTGTTTGCTTGGGGGGGTGGGGGGGTGTTGGGGTTTTGGGGGGGTTCTTTTTGGGTTCGTTTATAATTTTTATTTTTTATTGCTTTTGTTGATTTTTTCTCCAAAAGATACTTGAAAATGTAATCACCCAATCATCGTGTTAAAGCTTTTCACGACCCACACATGCAGTACACCAATTTAATTCTAAATGAATTCTGTATCTTTAAAATTTGACACAATAATGTTTTATTAACAATGAGAGTCACCCGAGACACGGTCATTCAAAATTAACCTTCAAAATCATTGTACGCAAAATTGTGTGAAATCAAAGAAATGTAAAATTGTGTTTGCGTGGGTATTGCTGTGGAATAGACATGTGTGGCATATTAAATGAATGAAAAATATTATTGTTTCTGCTATGAACAATCTCTCATTGCGATATTTTTTACAGGAAAATAGAGCAGTCTCAAATACAACACAAAACTGCTCATTAGTAGATTTATTTTGCTTACTAGTTAATACTTGCCTTTAGTTTCGTGTAGAGTACCATCCCCTTTTGAGCATGGACTGTTTTAGTTAGATTCTGGACATAACCTTCTGTCACTAAGGAATAGAGCCACGAAGCTGCCATGATTTGGTGTGGTCTGGCGGGAATGAACAAAACTTCCAGAGAACCAGCAGATGGCTTTGTTGTTTAGATGACTACATCGCGCAAGTGCTGAAATGTCACGCCATACCCTTATTTTCGTCATAGTGTCATTCAAGTAGACATCTTTATGCCTGACACGGCCAAAGCCTCTAAACAACTTTGGAAAATGCAAATCATACCTACGATGGTGTGGTCATCAGTAAAGGTTGCCCCAATTATTAATATATGTATCCTGCAGATATATTATGTGGAGCTCCTTGAAACAGCAGCTGAAGAAACGCTACTTTGCTCCCAGTCCGGACTCTTTGTTTGCAGTCCTCTCATTCTTTGTGACATTTGGCATAAAATAATAGATAACTAGGTCCAAAATGTAACACAGTCCATGCCCAAAGGGTTCGTGCTCTATACAAAACCAATGTACCCTAAACAAAATACTGATGAAGACATGTTGTGCTAAGTCCTAGTCTTATGTGGAACTTGTGACAGCTGTTTTCCAATCTGTTTCAAACTATCGTTATAAAATATCGTTTATTGCCGACAAAAAAAAAAATCTCTCATTTCATTTGATTTGCAATGCATGTTCATGCCAGAAATTTTGGTACCGCTGACCACTTCAATATATGCACAAAGACAATTTAAAGTTTCTTTGTTTTCACACAGATTTGC